TTTAATAAGGATAACTGCTTTATCTAAACACCTAAGAATACTTTACTAGCTAAAGGAAGCTATAAAGAAGGTGTTAGTGTCTTTAGTGCTACTAGCTCTAAGCCTACATCTATTACAAAAAGCGCTATACACCCTGTTGTCAATGCTTCTAGTAGTTAAGAAAATACAGGTGATAGCCTAATTCTAGACAAGGCTATTAATCTAGAAGCTACAAACTCTTCTAGTAGTCCCTTACAAGGGGAAGAAGAAAAAATAGTATTTAATAATAATACTATTGAGCTAGCACATCAAAGACTAGGACATATAAGTCTTAAGTCTATGCAGCACTTAAAGAACAATGCAATAGGAGTAGATTTTGTTAATCTAGACTATATAGGCAATGCTTCTACTAGCTTAGACAACTGTATTACTTGTATACAGTCTAAACTAACTAAGCAAAGAAATAAAGAAGCAAGCACTAAAGTAGAAGCCTATCTAGATTTAATCTACATAGATATAGGAGGTCCTATAAGGCCTAAAGCATTAAAAGGCTTTTAATACTACATTACTTTTAGAGACAGCTATACAAAATATCTAGTAGTAAAACTACTTAGATCTAGAAGTAACATAGTAGATATTATTAGGACTACTATTGCTAAGCTAGAATTAGAGGCTAAAGACAATAGCTCTAATAGCTCTAATAGTAAGAATTCTAGTAAACCCTTTAGTAATAATAAGGTTAAAGCCTTACAGCTAGATAATGAGTTTAAGTCTAAAGAACTAGACTTATACCTTACTAGCAAGGGTATTCTTACTAGATATTCTGCTCCTTATACTCCTGAGCAAAATAGTGCAGCAGAGATAATTAATAGAGTACTCTTTAACAAGGTTAGAGCTCTGTTAATTACTAGTAATCTACCCAAGCTAATCTGGGGTGAAGCATTACTAGCTGCTACGTACCTCTATAATAGAACACCTAGTAGCTCTATAGAGTTTAAGACCCCTTACTTTATGAAATACAAAGTACTGCCTAACTTAAGCAATATAAGAGTTTTTGGCTCTTTAGCGTACTACAAGGAACCTAGCTTGTTT